CTCTAGGAGGATGCAATCTTTACCAAAACTCCTAGCTGAAGAACCTGGGGGCAGAAGCCTAGTTCCATCTATACTAACAGGCTGAAAGGAAGTGGTCTACCTCCTTATGGAGCCTTGGGCTCCTTGGAACTTGTCTCAACCTCCACTTCTGAATGCTGTCCCCACCCCTCCCCCAGGGATATCACTACTATATCCTTCAATACACAGGCACCAAGTGGCACGTGAAGGCCCATTCAGCCAGGCCTTCATGTGGGATCCAACGTCTTTGGTGTGAAGGCCAAGGATGAGCCTGCCTTCCTCCTTGTCATACTTGCCATCAACCCATTCTTTGAGAATACTTCTAAAAACCTACTACAGAAGGCTCTTAAAAACCCAAGTTGAAGATGGCTAGGGAAAGGGATCAGTCACCTAGAAGCTCCCAGGAGAGCCTAATTGAGCAATGATTTTTCAGCTTTGCCAATCCCCTTACTCAAAACACTTAAAGTGAAAGAATCCCACCTAGAAAAAACAGGTAACCCCTAGTCCCAGGTCTCTTGTGGGAACCAGTCATTAAACAGTGCAAGGAAGCACTGCCTGATGGGCCTCAGACCAGGCAGGCAGCAAGATGGGGCCTTGCATACTGTTAAGGATTTTGGCTACAAGAAATTTAAATGCTGAAGGAGATCAAACAGAGCTATGCAAAGAGACAGAACTCAAGAGGCAGCAGGAATTAGAACCATTTGTGTCTATGCCTTAAATGCTTTGGAATTTTTGCCCTCTGAGGTTTAAAACTGTTAAGAGCAAAAAAACTTAGGGAAGTTTACAAGCTTGAGTGCTTATAGCTGGACTGCAAATACCTGACAGCAGTAGTCAAATTTACTTTTTCTTCAAATATACATTTGTAACAACCAATACCAAAGACCATCCTTTATTACAGTATTAGTTCACGGGAACTTAATGAAAACATTACTCGAGGGGAATTAACAATTACCATTTTAAATAACTAGCTCCCAACATAACAACCAATTAGTATAAGAAGCTCCTGTTGGACAGGCTGGCAAGGGACATTGCTAGAAATTTAATGAATGATACCAAATGTGCCAGTTACAGAAAAATGTTGCTCAATACATCTCTTAGCTTTGTTGAGAATGTCCTGATACACAAAGCATACTTCTACACCAAATGTTCAACAGTTAGGTTTTCAGAATCCAAGTTGATAGCAGCTCTTGGTCCTTCACAGACTGACATCCATCCTCTGGAGATGCAGCCTGCAAAGAAACTGAATTTCAATTTCACTTCCTGCTCTAACCAACAGCCATTTGCACAAGAAAAGATATCGTCAGAAAACCATAGGCTCACCACTACACAATCTGCCGGTAATTCCAGCTATTTGGGGTGATTTCATCATTTGATATCCTTTTCTTAAAATCAATTAACAAAATCAGCTGTTTATTCATGCTACTGTGGGGATCAGATCAAGGCTTACCTCTTCTTCTTGGGCTGAGCTGCTATGGCTGCCAGCTCTCAATCTATGCACTGCAGCACTCAGTTCTCAAAACCTGGAAAGGAGAAGCCACACACAATACAAACTGCAGATGCTGAGCAGAGACATTTCTGAGAGCCTCAATTCCAAACTTACAAATCTAAATCCATCCTAACAAGAGACTTATTTGGGGGGGGGCGGAAAATTCATTGAGGATACAAGAAACCAGGTTACACCGATTGCATTTTTTTTTGGAGGCTTTTTTTAAAGATCCATTTTGGTAAATTACTTAAGTATCCAAGTACTAATTAGTTTCTATTAAAGTCGTAACCTCTATTTAGTCATATCATTTTAAATTTCACAAATCTATGACTACTTTTGTTTCAAGGATGGGATAAACACTATCTCAGCATAGAATAAAACGTACCTCATGAAGGCCAATGCTCCTGGATCCAGTACTCAGCATCCGAACATGCTGGTAATCCTTCCCTTATTTGCAACCTGGATGAATATAGCAATTAAGCCACAGTTCAGACAAATTCATTCCTGGGAAGTAGCAACTGGTGAGGACTTGTTGACTGCAGTCAGACAGTAATAGTTATCGTCAGTTATCGCTTCTGACGGCACTTCCTATTAGCGATTTCATCAGAGCAGTCAAAACGCCTCACCATTCCCCAGTACTTCTACAACCAGAGACCACCATTGTCTGAAACCACTAAAAACAGCCACTGGCGACGTTTTTTAAGGAAGCTGTTTCCATATTCACGTATAACTTTGGTTTAGACGCAGTTCCGCTGCTGCTTCACACCATGCAATGGGGACACGTGTAACAACTGTAAAAACATCGCTTTCAGTGCATTTAAGATAAGTTACATATTAAACCCTGCCCAGACTGAGCTCCTACCTTATAATTACGCTGTCTTCAACACTCTGCAGTGAGTATGGCATCTGAAACGGAATAAGGCCAAAAACTGAGGGCAGATTCCAGCAGTAATGTTCAATTAAACTGTGGAGGTTTCAGCAACTGTAGTCAGACAGGCATAAACGTCGTCTGTTACCGCCTCTAATGACACTTCCTATTACTAGTATCATCAGGACAGTCGACCAAGTCTCCCTTCTAGTTCCACTGCAGTCGCACCCCCGTGCGGTACTCTCCGGGTATACAGCAGAAGAGCCTACTCAGCCGCTTCTCAGGTTTGCTCACTTCCACTAAGGGCCGGGTAAACCGGGTCCCGGCCTTCGCGGTTCGTGGCCCTCCCGGGAAAACACTAGAACCATGAGCCTCGGCCCACTGCGGCTGGGTCCTGCCCCGCGCGGCCCAGGGAGACGCTCCAACCCCGGGCTGCAGCGCCTGCCCCAAAGCCCACGTGAGCACAGGTGCCGGGGAGACGCCGCTACAGCGGCCGCCAGCCTACCTCCGCACTCCAGCTAAATCTCCCGGAAACACCCCTCCGGAGATGAAAACTCTAGCTCTTTTTTCGCCCTTGTCGCCTGCTACTAGCCCCAGGTGCAAAAACAACCCACCTCGGCCGCTCAATTACAAAGAAAGGGGTAGGAGTGTGGCGCCCCAACAACTTAAAGAGCTGGGACATCCCATTATTCATAGCAGGGGGGACTGGCGGGAACTCCAGCCCATTTAACAATGCAGACTCGAGGGCTCCCCCTCCTACTGGGCCTATGGTCTCTCCCACGGCCCCGGGAATTCTGGGTAGTCAAGCCCTTGATGTGTTACTAGGCGCCTGCGCAGGGGCTGGCGTGCTGGCCAGAGCGCAGGCGGGAGAGAGGGTTTCGGGTCCCGCCTCTGCCACCGCCTGGTTGGTTGGTTTTGATCAAATTACTTATCTTTTGTCAGCCTCGGATTGCTCTCGGAGTAAAAGGAGATACTTGCGCTCCAGGAGGTTTATCTGAAGATCAGAGGAAGTAACACATTTGAAACTGCAGAGCCCTGGCACAAGCAAGCATTCGTAAATAGTAGCTGTTCCAAATCTAATAAGCGTTGCTAGTCTCTCCCCAAGATGGTTTCAGAATGTCCACAGAGGCTCCCAAACCCCTGCGCGCTGACAACCCTCATCACTTTCTTTAGGATGACCGTTAAGGACCCATCAGACCTCTTGTCTGAGTCCACTTCCATCTTCTCCCCCTCTGGGGTCAAACTCTACCCCTTCTTGACCCTCCGAATTCCCACAGGACTCCACCCATAGCTCTATCTCGCCTATGATGGAAAAAACTGTCTCTGCTGATGCTTTCCCTTCTGCATATGAACTCGTTCAGGTCTCCTTAAGAAACATTCAGTATGAAACTACCCTTCATATCAATAAAGAGCCTCCAGGTGGGAGCTGGAATAGGGGCCTGAGCTCTGCAAACATATAGTGATAGTTAAACACGTAAGCAGGCGTGTTCCCTAGTTTTCTTATAATTGCCTACTACTCAGGAGTCATATAGGTGATGGTCATAAAGATTCTTAGCTTGCTTCATTGCTCCCTTAGTTTTTTTTGGAGGGGGGGATGTTTTTCGTGTCCTAGGTAGAGTGCCATGGCATGCATAATAGCTCACAGCAAACTCAAACTCTTGGGCTCTAGTGATCCTCTTGTCTTCGCCTCCCAAGTAGCTGGGACTACAGGCAACCACCACAAGGCCAGGCTAGTTTTTCTATTTTTAGTAGAGATGGGGTCCTGCTCTTGCTCAGGCTGGTCTGGAACTCCTGAGCTCAAGCAATCCACCGGCCTCAGACTCCCAAACTGCTAGGATTACAACCATTAGCCACCATGCAAAGAAACTAATTTTAGCTTTTTTACTTTAATTTTTTTTAATTTCAGATTAGTGTGAAGGTACAAACCATTAGGTTATATAATTTACACACAAAAGGTTAGAGTCAGAGCTGTAGTTGTGTCCTACACCCAGGGAGTATGTCATTTAAGACTAGTTTTTAAGATGTTTTCCAGAAGCCCTGCATTCTGGTGGACCAGCTAACCCACCCAGACCAAGAACTGACTCACCTTGTCTTACAGACAGGCCCCAACCTGGAACTAACTCAGCACAAGAAGACAATTTTTACACTTCTATGATTCCACCTAATCCCAGCCAATCAGCAGACCCAATTGCCTAGCCCTTTGCATGCTAAACTCTTTGAAATCCCTTTCTCCCAAATTCTTGGGGAGACAGATTTGAGAAGTTTCTCTAATCTCCTCACATAACACCTGAGATAGTAAACTCTTTGCTGTGACCCCCGCTATCTCAGTATAGTGGCTTCCTCTTGAGCAGCAGGCAATGAAACTTGTTAGCTATAACAAGTCCTTCCATATGTTTTGCACACAAATGTCATACCAAAGTAGAGCAATTCATTTTGACTGCAGAAAACTGGAAAAGCAGTCAAACTCTTTAAGTTGGCCTCAGAAATAAGTGTAAGATTTTAATTAGGGAAAGAAGGCTTCAAGGAAGGGACAAATCAAGGGGTGGTCAAACAAGAGGTCACTCAAACTTCATGAAGAATTTGGTGACAGGTTAAGGGGAAGAGGAGGAGGAGAGGGATATGCTGAAGAGGTGTCCAGAAATGCTTGGGCAAACCATGGAGAGCTGGGGATACCAGCTAATGCATTCAGTGGGTGAGTAGCCTCTCAGGTCTTCAGGGCATAGAGGTGACATGTTTGTCTTTGTCTTAAGAGGAATCCTCCTGGGCGGCGCCTATGGCTCAGTGAGTAAGACACCAGCCCCATTTACTGAGGGTGGTGGGTTTGAACCAGCCCTGGCCAAATTTCAACAACAACAACAAAAAGAAAAATAGCCGGCT